ATATTATACCCTATTCTAGACCCAAACGCTCTGATTTATATACCCTATCCTACAGTAAACTGCTTGAAAACCATACCCTTCACAGCGGCACATACCTGCATAGCCCATATATAGTCCATATGGAGGGCTGATGTTTTTGCTTTGTATCCACACCTCGAGGCACATCATGACAGTCACATGAGATAAAAGTCATTACAAAAAGGCATGGCAAAATACAGCCTGACGACACATCAGGAACATTACGTGAATAAATTTGGCGCATTACTCTATATTGCCAATCTGCTTTATTTGTTTTATGTATCAATTTGCTTCCCCAGGCCTTGAAGAAAGCAATAACCCTTCAGCCATCCAATCATAAACTGTGGAACAGCCTCGGAGTAGTGACAGCTTCTAAGGGTAATGGTGCTAGTATAATGTTGCATGGACACTTATCAAGTTTGCCTTGGCCAGTCAATTATTTTTAATCATTTGAACTCATTTTTTTATAATTTTGTTTTTGCTGCAGAAGTCAACAATCCAGATCTCGCACAGCACTCATTTATCATGTCCCTCAAGACTGAACCCAATGTAAGTGTTTACTGAGCAAATTTCTTTTTTTTAAGCCAGGAGAAAATTCAAAAAGCACCCCCAAATTCAATATACACCTCTCCTCCCACCCCCCCCCCACCGCAAAAAAAGCTTTGTTTTGCAATGACAGCTGACCGTTTGCTTGCCTATGCATGGTTACGTGCACTGACCAAAACAACAATATGACCACGGGCTGATTTTTGTCAAGACAGCAACTGTCGTAGATTGTCCTTTGTTCACTGCGTTGCTCTATGGCAGCTCTACAAGTTGTTTCTAAAGGGAGTTATTGTAAAGCTTCCATTTTGCTTTTTCTCTTTGCAGAATGTTATAGCTTGGACCAATCTAGGAGTTCTGTACCTGAAACATGGTAAAATAGAGGTAAATAATGTTATCGATCTATCCTCTCATTACATTCTGTCCTGCCCCAACGACGGAGATGTCTTAGACTCTAACGACGTAGCACTCAAGTGATCTGCTACGTGTGTATGACTTGCTGTTACTTGGTTTTGATGTTTGCATGACAGACTACTAACAGCAGTTTATAGAAACAACACAGCTCATTGTAAAAACAGTCATCAAGCTAACTATTCAAATCCATATGGCTGTTTTTATGTCAAATTGATTCACTTTGGACAGACCAGTATTGCTTAAAGGAACTCAGTCACAGTATTTTGAGTTATTTTAGCCTCGTACAAAATTACCTTTCCATTGAACGAAACCTGAAAATAGCAGTTTACTAAGATAGAAAAACACCAAAGAGATGATAATAAACCACAAAGGAACAAGGATGGTTAAGGATGGAGCAGATTGACACGGATTACAAACGACGAACTTGAATAATTTAGGCTACATTTTAAGTCTTCAGAACTGACTGTGTGGATAAGTGGAATAATTTTGCCCACGTTTTAGGTCCGTGTAACGTTAAAATTTCAGGTGTGCGCTGATATTTTATGTTGATGTTTATTTGCTAGCTTGCCCACGAAGCCTTTAAGAATTCTCAAGCTTTAGATCCATCTTACACTGCAGCTTGGATTGGGCAGGTAATAAAACATTGTAACTCAAAATGCGCCTACTTGGTTGTTGCTTAATCATCTTAGAGTCAAATAAAACTCGGGGATAGTTGCAAGTCTTTTCAAGTTCTTGTAAACGTACCCAGCAAGTTAGCGAAAGTAAGAGCCCAAAGTAAAATAATTTTATCATGAGCACCATCAAGTAGTCTTAAATTACCATTTGTGTTGACGCTGTGTCTGTGGTTTATTAATTACTTTTTATTTGTTTGAATCTGAAGGCAAGCATTGCTGAAATTATTGGGAGTGAAGAAGCTATGGACCTGTTCAGACACACCACAGAATTGGGTTCGCATGTAAGAGTACATATTTAACTACAAGACCATAATTAATTCTCTGTCATAAAACGTCCAATGTGACTGCAGCCTAATATAGCTGTTTGGCTCTTTGGCACTTTTATAGGTTGCTTGTGAAAATTACTTTCACTTCAACAGATTATTTGACTTTGTAAATGACATCAGATGTCCAGTGTAACATTTGATGGCACCTAATATGTAATATATCAAACACGAAAGACCGTGTTAGACCACATTTCTAAACACCGAGGAGAGAGTTGAAAATACGACGCGTGGCGAAGTATTTTTGACGAACTTCGAGGTGTTTGAAAATGTGGTCAAACACTGTCATGAGTGTATGATGAATCTTCTCAATCGAAACTAAAACTAAGGAGCAAAGGAAGAAATAAAATCGTAAAAATCTAGTATGTTATTGAAGATCTGATATCCAAACACCGTCACGGTCATGATTTCCTTTGTTTAAACTTGGTGAATTATTAATGAGTTTGAGATAGTTCACGTTCGAAATTGAGTTTCACTTGGAGAAAAAAATCAGCTTGACGCTTGGTTTTGTAAATTACAACGTTGTCATCCCTGCAAATAAATGGTTAAATATTGCCTTCTGTCCCCATTCCGGCAAAAATAAGCGAGAGAGCTGACTGAATCTGTTTGCTAACGTAACCTTCTCATAACAGGTTGAAGGAAGCATTGGTTATGCTCACTGGGTGTGCTCAGGTCTTGCCCCTAACACGTCACATGAAAATCACGTGATACTCAAAGGAAAACCAGTTCCCACTCTCTCTCATCTTCATCCTGAATACCGGAAAGCTGTGTTACAATCAGCAACTGCCCTCAGCAAATACACAGGTACTGCGTTTTTATTGCTCTTTGGATAGCATTTGCTCTTCACTTGCTTTGGATAAGTTTAAAAGAAATTGCTGAAAACTTAACTCGTGTTATTAGTGGATGGATTTTAAATGCATGACGTCCTTTGTTAAAGGAAAAGATTCTGTTAGGAAATAGCTGCTTAAAAGAATTGAAGGATTCTAAAATCAATAAATGCGAACTACTGGAAAATATACATTCATGGCTTTATGAAGGGCAGTGAAAATGTACAAAATAGTACACACCAACAGAACACTGAACTATACTATGCTTATTATACTATGCGCGCTCTTATTGGTCGATAAGTGTGTTTAGATGAGAGTACACGGTTGTGACGCTTTAGATTCGCGCATACTTTTCAGAAATATTTTGTAAAAGCAAAAGAGTACGTTTTCCGTTTTTACATAGCCTCATGTATACACTCAGGAATGGGAGAATTCTCGAATCTGTCTCGAATTCTCCCAACCACACTCATGCTTAGATGGGGCTATGTAAACACGGAAAAAGTACTCTATTGCGTTTACAAAATATTTCTCAAAAGTACACGCGAATCTAAATCGTCACAACCGTGTTTGCACTTTTTTTCAGATCGTTTGAGAAACAACGCTGGTGCTTACAATATGTATGGACTTTTACTTGAACATCAGAAACTCTTCTTACAAGCAGAGAAAGCATTTGAAAGGTTACATGAGTTACTTCAGTTACAGCATGAAATTATTGTTTGGATCAGTGTTTGCAATCCTTGTTTTCAATACTGAAGTTGTCTTTGTTTTATTTTCTGAAGTGCAATCAAACTTCTTCAGGAAAGTGACACCGAAAGCCAACAACAGCATTTAAACTCTGTGCTTGTTAACCAGGCCAGAGTGCTTTGGTAAGTTGTCTAGAAGAATTAAAATGCTTTTTCTAATAACCTGTGTCAGATAAACACAAAAAAAGATGCCAATTAGCCTGAGCGGGAAATACCTTTAACGTTTAAGTCTTTATTTTATTATTATTATTTTTTTATGTGTGTGTGTGTTTTCATTAGTTCACTGGGTCGTTACAAGGATGCAGTAGCGCGTTACCAAGCTGTGAAGCCGCTGACCATGTTTCATGATGTCTGCGGGCTCGCTCTATCACTGTTCATGGCAGGTCAATCGAAAGAGAGCTATCAAGGTGACTAACTCACGATTCTGTTCAAATGTAAAACATGCAATTATGTTTCAAGTGTGCCTCTCTTGATCAGCAACTAAAGTATCAAAAACTTGTGTAACAAAATTTGCTCTTTCGCCTTCAGCATACGAACAAGCTTTTCAATTGGCTGATACAGACGCCGACAGGTCATGTGTTCTAACCGCCATGGGCATGCTGGGATATACATTGGATGACAAAGAAGGAGCAAAGGCGATGCTTTTTAAAAGGTGAGGTGAAAACTGCATTTGCCTAGAGCGTATAAAAGTATGTCATGCTTTGGAGACAAAAATAACTATCTTTTCTTAGTAAGGGTATGTCTGATTTCTAGCTTTGAAAACTCCTTCAGGAGTTTGATTTGGAATCTCCTTTGTTACAGTTCTCAGTTACAGCCTGCTTGTCAGCGCGGGCTCATGGCGCTCTGTTCCCTCGGTTTGGTCAGCGGTGATGCTACCTTAGCTGGAGCAGCTCTTGGCGAACTAATGAAACAGAAAGATGGTAAGATGAAGTATAGAAGAGACTGGGGTGGAGAAAGGGAGGACTGTGTTGTGAAACAGAAGGAAGGTTAGGAATTTTGATCGACTGGACAGGAGATGGAAATGGCAAATGATAAATTTAAGGCCTATTAATTAGATAAAGGCAGCAACATAAATTTTACTACCCAGAATTGTGTGTCATCTTTTTAATACAGTGATTCGTTTTGTAGGGAGTGAAGATTTAACAGGCAATATCTGCTATCTGTACTCAAGGTTTTACGCTCTGCAGGTATTTTTAAGAGTGCTTCCTTTCATATAAATGTGTAAATAGAACTTTTCTGGACACTTGCAAATCTTTGTTACTTCCCCTTAAGAATTTCTGTTTCAATGAGAAATGTTCTTAGTACCAACCGTGAGCACGCCGTACACATCCACGCTTGGTCCACGCTAACGTATCCTTTTACTTAGCAACGCTTTGGAACTCGTTAATCATCATTGGGTAAATAAGTTAGCGTTTCTACTCCGTCATTTGCCTCAATGTTATTGGTATTATCTTGTCGCAGGGAAATCAGGAACTTGGACGAAGTTACATCATGAAAGAGATCCACCGGTATGATATATAAAGAAATGAAAATGATATCTAGGTGTCAAGTTTCATGCAAATTACTTGCAGTAACATATAGTTTACTTGTTCGTGTCCCTTGCTACTTACGAAACTAAAGTTCGTGTTGTTCTGTTACAACAACTTTGTTAGCCAACAATTTGGCTTTTTTGTGGTATTTCCGAGCACCATTTAGGGTTTGTTGTCGATTTAAGTATTGGAGGGAATCGGAACTGTCTGTGGCAGCTTCGGCGTATAAAACTTCGGGCCGTTTCCGTGAAAACTCTGATGCATTTTTCGCCTCTGTGAATTATCTTGTTTCTCCTGTTACAGCAATCCAGCAAGCAGTTTACTATGGAGTCAGTTGGCTTCTTACCTGTTACAAGCCTGTCCTGACGAACAAGAGGTAATTGTGATGTGGCTCAATGTTATGAGCTGTTTTCACTTGAGTGTTGTAAGCAGTTTTCATTTTCTTTTGTTTTGCATTACCACGCTACGTGATCTGGTTGAAAAAATCGCGCACCTTTTTTAATTGGGGTGTAAACCAAACCCAATTTCATGACTTGCTCGCACAAGATATTCCGCGCTTCGCCTCGGTTATGTTTATTTACTTCGAATTTTGATTTGTTTATTGGAGGCCCTGTGACCTTTTTAATTAGTCAGAGTTACTTGGAGCAACCTATTCATTACTGTTTTGACTTTGTTTGTTTCTGTAGGCCGCTGCATGTTGTTCTGAGTCTTCTTCTAGGCTTGGAGGAAGTCACTCGTCTGAGGTTAGTTAACATGAGATTTTCAATATTGCTTTTAGAAACACTGCTGCCTAAAATGTAAATTTGTTTCAAGTCACTTGCCTCTACTTTAAAAAAAGATTACAAAAAAGGGGCGACTTTAGCTCATCACGGATCTTTGCACTGTGGCAGAAACTAGCCTGTACCTTACGCAGTTTAAACACAAGCTTAAACAATTTGTTCTTCAACAGCACAATCCCGCATTTCACCCAGCCGGTCTTGTGGGCTCTGGAACTTTACGTAATCACACCAGCAAACCCAATCTTAAGAGTGCAACAAACAGAACTCGGACGGGTCTCATTGCATCCCAGAAGGCTGTTCATGCGCATCCTGATCACGCGTCTAGCTGGGCAGTTCTTGCAGCGTCTGTAACAGCTCATAATGTAGCGACTGCTCGCGAGGGACTGGGAACAGAAAAGAATGGTCTTGGCGCCAGGCTCTCGCAATTTGTAGAACTGACAGGTATTTACTGTTTTTTCGTGTCAATACTATGTGTAAGCAAGAGATTAAGCAGTCTTAATTATACGAGCCGGCAGTTTTCAACGGGGCTGTTGGCTGGTTACATTTTGATATTCTGTCATGCTGGCGGGACAACTGGGACGTGAGGTCGCGTCCTTAGAAATGATTGATTTTTAAATAATAAGTCCACCGTTTGAAAAAATGAAAACCTTACAGAACCTTGCCAACATCTGAACCATTTTGTTGAATGGGAAATGAAGAAGAGAGCTTTCTTAAGGGAGGCGCAGTTTCTGAAATAGTCCCTCTTGTTGGTGACTGTAACCTGTATTTTCTAACGTATTGGCTCTTTGTATAAAAGACTGTATTTTTTTGGTGCTCTTACACATACGTAGGAATTGAACATTTTCTGTTATAGCTTCACAGGAAACAGGTGCTCTTAAGTCCCTTTCTGAGCATCAGCTGCCAGCCCTTGTTCAAGCACAGACCAGTCATCTGGAGACCCTCCAGCCCTGGGCCATTATTCACCGAGGCTACTGCTTACTGTATTCAGGCCACCATCAGGAAGCTGCTAAACACGTTGATCAGGTAAGACAAAAATTAAATAAATTACAACATCTGGAGCGGAAGCCACATCAGCCTTACCTGGTTTCATGCCAGTCCTCTATCCTGGTCGAATTGGAATTTGCAGTGTTGGTTTTTGTGGAGGGAGGAAAACCATAGAACCCGGAGAAAACCCTCGGAGAAAGGCGAGAACCAACAACAAATTCAACCCACATATGGCACCGGGCCGAAATCAAACCCGGGCGACATTGGTGGGAGGTGAGTGCTCTCCCCACTGCGCCATCCCTGCTCCCCTATAGAGTCAAGATAATTTATCCGGAGAGAATCTCGTTTTCAGTGAGAGCATTAAGATTAAAAGAATCCAAAATCTGGCCTAAACGTTCTGAAATAATGGCTGAATTGACACAAGCGAGACATTTGGTTATGTGCAACATATAGCTACATTTGGATTAATTCGTTCTATCGCGGTAGATTCTTATACCTAGGATGACCTTGGACAAGCAATGACGAGGGAATAAACCAGTTTGCAGTATTTCGCTACTTTGAAACATGGATCACCAATCCTTTTGCTATTTCTTTTTTCTAAGTTTGTTGAGTGGTTCAATGTTTCTCTGTCACAGGCCTTATCGGTATACAGCTCGGTTCCTGATGTTTCCGCTCAACTGCATTTCCTGAAAGCTCAAGTATTATTGGCCAGCGGAGAACCTGTCGAAACTGGCCTAAACATGCTGCAGACGTCTCTGCTGTCCAGTCCAGTTCATTCACCGAATGCTTGGCAGGTAATAACATTATAGTATTACTCAGTATTGTTATATCTAACATGACTGAGAAAATTTCTTCTTCGTGATTGGCTGAGAACAGGCAAATTTATCGGTAATTGTTAATTGCACTGCAATGCAAATTAACGCACGTGCGTTCGTCATTTTCTCAGTCAAATAATAAATGAGTAATCGTGATATTTGAAAATTTTTTCAAATTGCACTAGTCTAAGGTAAGTAATAAGTAAAGTCTGCATACGAGTCAAGTGGCCCATCAGGCCGGAGCTTATCCCAGTTTCTGTAGCATGAAGCGACTAGGAGTATTTCTACTCCCCCCTGGATGNCACAACACAATGTCCCCGGCCAGGGCTCGAACCCGGACCGCTCGATCCGGAGACGAGCGCACTAACCATGAGGCCACCGCGCCTCCCACTAGTCTAAGGGCTCGTTCAATTTTGGGAGAATTTTCAAATACCAGACGTAGTGTAAAACCTTATTGCACTCGCATTCACGCGATTACCTATACGTGTTACCAATCAGCCCTATCAAGTATACATCTTCTATATGCGTATTCGTCTTGTCGGGTTCTCATTAAAACGTGTTTGACGGGTTTGACAGGTTTTAGCAGAAGTTCAAGCCAATCAGGGCTCAGCAACGGCGGCAGAACTTTGCTATCGTCAGTGTCTACAAGCGGGAATGAACAACAAGTGAGAAAGCTTTTGGAATAATTACCTCATTAATTCATGTTTGGGTCAATTATGAACCCCCCACTTCTTTCTGTCAAGATTTACCAGTTTAACTCCATGTTTGCTGACGCGAAATGCAACAAAAACGTGAGTAAAATGCAAAAAAAAAAAAAAAAAAAACGATAAAGAGTCCAGTTGTCATGAATTTACAGTGTTCTTTTTCCCAAACTGTTGCTGTGAGAAATCTAAGTAGATGTTTATGTAGTCGGAACGTCGAACTTCTAATTTCTCTGTATCTTGTTAACTCAAAACTCAATTCAGTGTTATGATGTTTTTAGGGCACAAGGCTGGAGAGTTGTTCCGCTCATAAGACTGGCAAGGTTAGCTGTACGTTTGGCACAGGTTTGTGAATGAAGTTTTAACCGCACTAATACTAATTCTAACCTTAAGGATAAGCGAGAAGCCATACTTATTTTTAAGCTTGGTGTACAATTTTGTCTCTCTCAGTCGGAGTCCGCTGACCTTGATCGCTGGATCAACCTTACTCTTGAAGCATCTAATGAGGTTTGTTGCAGCAGAAAGTGTATTTTATACCTCTGTACCTGTCTGTGGATTTTTCATCAATTCAAGGTGTATTCTGTTATTCAATCGCAGGTTCTCAAGTTTAAATCTGGCTTATCAGCTGCTTATCTAATTCAAGGAATCGCATATTTTCTTCAAGACAATGTTAGGTAAGTCTCATTACTCCATTGCGTAAGTATCGATGACAAACAGAACTATCCCCCTCCCTTCACGGGCAAGAGAGGGACTTGGTCGGGGAGGTGGAGAGGGGCGGTAAACCCCGCTCCCAAGCCCCTTCCTTATTTATACAATACGATACGATACGATAAATTTATTTGTACACGGTATTTCCATCAGTCTATTTATGACAATTAACCAGCTACCTATTTTCCTGACTACAATAACAGTAGTTAGTTTTCTAGCTAAGTTATTCCACAACTGAGCTCCAATGTACGGAAACCTTCTCTTCAGATAATCAGTGCGATTTACTGAGCAAGAAAGGATCTGTCTTCAATTTACTGCCTTAGAAATACTTCTGGATCCCTTTGAGGTTCTCCTCATCTAGCAGTGCAGCCCATGAAGTCTAGAATGTCGATGTATTTTTCGTTCAAGTTTAATGACTAATTTATTATTAAGTTATGTCTGTTTAATGTCTTTTGCAGGGCAGCGAGGCGCGCATTCCAACACGTGATTAACTCAGACACAAAAGGCTCGGGCATAGCTCAGTACTGGCTAATCTTACTTCATTTGAAGAAAAACGATCTTCCCGCCGCCTTGGTAGGTAACGATTTCCGTCGTTGGCGTGACTTTGTGTTGGAATCAGTGGTATCATGCAACTACTTTTCCGCGAAAAGACTCCAAGTAGTTGCTGGTTTCCTTCAGATGTCGTTCATATACTAGCTAGTGAAAAATGCGACAAAAAAGGGGTCTGGGAAAAAGGATCTGAAATGAGCGTGAACCTTTCGAGTGGGATCGGCTAAAGACGTTGAAACAGATTTGACTGTTTTACAGTTTAATTTAAGAGACAGCAACTACTCGTCGAGTTTTTGACTACTGTATCACTTTGTTTTGCCATATACAGGCTCTTCTGTCTAAAGCCGCGTTTGATGGTAACAGCAGACTGGATCTGGTTTATCACCGAGTTGCAAATAATGCAGACCTGTCCAAGACAGCTAAGAAGCGTTTAATGGAGAGATGTGTCCACGTGAATCCATCAGAACAATTATTTTGGAACACATTGAAAGAATACTGCTGAAAATTTGACATCAATAGAAATGTGTAGTAATTAGTTCCATAAATAATAAGTAAGTGCCCACAGAAAAATATTAACTTTGAACCTAAAGGTGAATATTAAAGGAACTCAAAATCTTAATTTAAAGTTATTTAGTAGCATTTAGGTAGTTGATATTTCTGCCACTCAATGACGTATTAAAGTATCTTATAATCCAAGATGGCCTTACCCAAAGAAGAGCAGGATTCAGTTTTTATACACTTTATAGACGTTGGGCACAATCAATAAACTTAAAATGCAACTATCGATCGAGACTTGCCATAGAAAATATATTGAGATGCACATGTTTTTGTTTAATTATTTGAATCATTTTACATGGCTGTAAAGAATCAAGGAAACTCAGTCTCTAACTCCAGTCTATCTATAAAACCATGGCACCCTTTACAAAACAGAAACAACTAAAGAAACAGGTACTGCCTAACCTAAGAACTGAATGTGTTGGGTGTTGGCCCTTGTCGGCGCCTTGCAGGGTAGGTACGTCATGTATGGGGAAACAAATTGTACTGGGGCACACAGAACGTACCCAATGCGATTTGCAGAGGTCATTGACGTAGCATGAAGCATCACGGGTCTTCTGACCATGGAGGTCCTGACTTGTCAAGGACTTGCAGACTTCGATTATACTTGACGTAATTGCACACCGTTTTATTGTTGTTATAGCCTCCCATTAGGGGAGGGTGATATTATAAGGGTCAAGCATATTGACATAGTGTGTCACCTTTGACCGGCGGACACTTTTGGTACTTCTCACAGTCAACCCAGCTACTGGGGCAAATATAGTGGAGACTTTCCAAGCCGTCCGCTGAAAAGTCTAAAAATCGTGTCACTCATTGGTCATTCAATCAACCGTTTCTTAGACTACGGAGGGGCAAGTATCTCTATGGTTTCAGCTGAGACAGCAAGAAGCCATTTAGACCTATCGTCGAAACATTCCTCTGTAAAACTGCCGTGTAACGTAAAGCGAAGGACGATAATAGCGCATTCAGTGAGATACCGAGCTTGGAAACTTATTTTTTGCACGGGGTCAGGTAGCGCTCTCGCAAGGTCTTACATGAAAAGCTTGATACCTTTCGAGAGAACAGTGAAGCAAAGAACAGAAACTGCTTCTAGCCCCAAAACAATAACAGCTGCCACACTATGACAACAAATTGAATTACAAGCCTACCAGAGCTGCAGCACTTCTGCTTACACGAAGGACATGGCTATCAGTGAATAATCAGTGTGCATGGAGACTGAAAGATACTAATAATCTCACTTGCAATTGACAAGATATTACATTTAATAGTGTCACTCTCGGAATGATCAATCCCAAAATTGTGTCAGAAACCCCTAAATTTTTTAGTCTTGAGTAATCCGTCATCATCTCAGAGCAATACACACAGGCTTATTAGTCTTGTTTGCAGAAAAGAGGGAGAGGAAAGGCGGGCATTGAAGTATCTTATCTCCTTATTTATTTATTTATTTTTTCACCTCATTCAGTCTCGCCTTCCGTACTTTTTGGGCCGTTTCTCCCTCCTCCCTAAACCGTTCCTCTCACTAGGATTGCGACTTTTATGTGTGTTGCAAGGGTCATTATATTCCGGTATCTTCTGTGATATCTTATTTATTTTTATTTCTTTATTAAGCTTCGGCCTACCATTACACATAAAGAAAAAGAAAAAGAAGAGGAAGCAAAAAAAACAAAACAAAAAAAAACAGACAGCAAAACAAAACAAAATGGCCAGGGGAGCCGCGACAGCTTAGCCAATTACAGCGGCCCCCTTAGATATAATTAAGAGACAAAATTATACAATATATATAAATCTAAATCTAGTATAGGGAACTTAAAAGCAGCAATGCAGTGGGCGCGTTAAGGTCTTAGCGGTATTGCACTTTGGGCAAATTGTCCGCCACGTCCTTATCTTCTTGATCAAAAATATCTACAGCATTTGTATAATATTTTAGTAAGGATCTCTTAAAAGCAAGGGGTGTTTGATTGTGTTCCTTAAGACTTTAAGGCATCTTGATCTCGTGCAATGATTTGCAACAGTCAATCATGAATGTTCGGTAAAGTGAAACGTTGAACTGTATTAATTA